TTTTTTTTTCCAAAATTTTTTTTTAAAAAAACCTTTTTTTTTTTTTTTTTTTTTTTTTTTTTTTTTTACCTTATCAGAAATAACTATTAAATCATTTTCAGCATCAGCAACTCTGGTCTCTGCAGGTCCCTGTGCTACGCTGCGCTTTCACAAATATCTTGGAAAGAACACTGAACCGTTCTTTTAACAAGCCAGGGGATACACTTACTCAATATTTTCATCATATTGCTTGAAACTCGTGTTTCACTTTGAAACTGATTGCTACAACTAGTCAAAACGGATTCTACTCAGTTTTATAATATCGTATTATTTCCCCTTAGTAAGAGACGCGCATAGCAGTGCGGTATTTTTCACAAGAAACTTGTGAAAGTGCGTTGGATTTGCCTTCATTTATTTCTTGATTTAAAGTACGCCTCATGTTGTGTCGGAGTGCTCTTCAGGACAAGGAGGCAAAAAGCGTGGAGAAGGATGGCCTCATTAAAGCATCCATAACGCAGCTATCTAGAGTGTTGCAACACCTCTGTAGCAGGTTCTCTCTAATAGCTCTATATTTCACAGTGGAAAACTTCCCTTCAGAACTGACATGATGTATGACGGTGCCTCTTTCACACCAACCTTGTCCCTCTTATACTCTCATCCTTACTAATGCCTTCTCTTCCTGACCCCCCCCCCTTCCCTTACCCTCGTCTCTCTGTAGTTTGACAAAGCATATGCCTACAGCATCCGCCACATGTTTGGCAAAGAAGGCAAGCGAGCAGACTACACTCCCTACAGCTGCATGAAGGTGATTTTATCAAACCCACCCAGCCAAGGCGACTATCATGGTGAGTTAGCGTCTGCAAGAAGAAATCATTATCTGTTGGGTTTTAAAGTTTTTTTTTTTTTTTTTTTTTTTAATTTGATTTGAAGTAGAGACCTTGGTATGTAAAAACATTATAGTTTATATAAAAACATTATAGTTTTTACATACCAAATATCCTAAGTACTTTATTAGAGCTGACATTTTAAACAGCCTTAACATCTTACATTAGGAGCTATCATTACTTGTAGCAGTCCCTGTGTTTATTCCCTGTAGAGTACAGAGACCCTTAACTTAAGTGTGTAATTTTCAAAGACTGCCAACATTTCTTAAACCAGCTTGTTCTATTGAGGGACAATTGGACTCTTCAAAAAGATGAACCTGACACACTTTGCTGTTGGTTCACCATCACGTAGTTCTGAATGTGTGATTTCCAATTGTGGCAGACTGAATGAACAGCTGGCACGCTTCAGCAGAAAACTGTTTGCTTTCTGGAAACCTCACGGACCTTGTGTGCTTCCTCAAGCTTCACTTTTAAACACCTCAGTGATGCTGAAAAGATTTGACTGGGGGTTCTTCTTGCAGTAACAGCTTCCTCTCCGAAGAGTGCAGTCTTCTAGAGTTTATGTACCCGATTGCACTGATCATAAATAATATTCCAGTATTTTATTTATTTTATTTTCATTTAACTTCCAACCATTGGATCAAGTGTAAAATCAGCCAAGTGTCCCTTTCTTTTGTAGTGTCTTATAATTGATTTATTGATCTATGTTGTTCCTGTTGTCAGGATGTCCATTCCGTCACAGTGACCCAGAACTACTGAAGCAGAAGCTTCAGTCCTATAAAGTGTCTCCCAGTGGAGTCAGTCAGGTGGGTTTTTTTTCCAGTCTGACCATAAAGTCGTACTTTTTTGCTTCTGAGCAGTAAAAATCATTTCTTTTACTAAGAAACTTAAAAAAAAATTATTTTAGAAAACTTTTAGAAGTTGCCGAGGAAAAATCCAGTGAAAGATTTATGACATTTCTGTCAAATAAAACATTTAGGGACCAACAGACTGTGATATTATTGACTAACATGAGCTGGTGTGAAACAAGGTAGCATAATGTCATCAAACACTGTGAAACAGGGTTACAATTGATTAAAATAAATGGATAAGTCACAGATATTGCAAATGGCAAACTGAGCAAGAAAGTAAAGAATTGAGAGCTTTTGCAAATCTTTTCCCCCCCGATGTGTTCTTTTTGAGATTTTTGATCGATAAATCAAACTTCTTGACGATGCTTTGTCAAAGTCCCTAATTTAAAGAAAAGGACATAAAGGCTGTATAAGAAGGAATCTAATATTGAGTTTGAAGATGTCTACTTTAATCAATAAGTTTTCCGTAAGCAGAATAAACATTCATACAGATTTAATAAAAGGTAATTTTCACCAATTTGAAGGATAATTAGACATGAAGCCACAAAATCAGCATCATGCTGACGCTTAAACAAATTGGTTTAGGAGCTGTGGTGTTAAGTGAAACACGGTAACACTAAAGTTATTGTTTATATTTCCCATGTCTCTGCAATCTGTCTTCAACCATTAGATTAAACAGGTGGTCCCTGAGACATCGTTAATATCTTATTTGTATGTTTGTTGGAGAAGGATTCGAAATGCATCTCAATGAACAGCTGCCATTTTCATTTTTTTTTATTAATCTGTTGCTCTCATAACTACAACAGCTCCATTTTTTTCCTTAACAAAATCAGTTAAAACTAGTTTGAAAGTACAATTTATGGTAGAGAATCTGCTCAGCTCATTCCTGATCTATTACCAGCTGTAGAGACGAGCGTGCCGGTAGCGTTATTACACCAGAGGCTGGAAAGTAGGAGCTTGGGGAATGATGATTACAAACAAATCCAAGCTGAGGAACAGTCGTTGGATTTGTTTTCCAGGAGAATGAAAAGCTCCAATATGAATGCTCCAAAAGGCTTCATTTAGTTCCAGTTAGTCACATGTGAGAGTAACTGCTCTTGTTTTGCGATGCATGTGATGTTGGTCTTTGCACAGGACCTCAGTGTCCTCGGAAAGTTAGCTTCTCACATTATGAAAATAGTTAATACGGTTTAGATCAAGTTTAAAGCTGCCTGTGGTCATTCTACCAAGAGCTAATTCATCTGTTTTTATTAGCTTTGCAAAGATTTCTTTAAGAACGTATTTTCTGCTGTCAATCTGATTTATGAACTGTGCTTGTGTTGGTAGTTGACCCAAATCCAATTAAAATGGTTATTGAAACTTTGCTGGAGCAGCACCAGATGCTGATGTTATCTTTAAATGTGACTGTAACTCTTTCTGTGAACACTGAGGTGTAACTTTTTCTACCTTTTGTTGCAGATTCTTGAGCTGGTCAAAGGGATGCATTATCAGCTGGCGTGCCAAAAATACTTTGAATTGACCCACAATGTAAGTTCAATCTCTTTTAATTGCTGGCCAGTGTTTACATCTCACACTGAAACACAGTCGTCACATCCATGACTATCAGAACCATGTGTTTTTTTTAAAGTTTGTTCAGTCGTTCCAGCCTATTTTATCCTCTGTAGACACTTACAGAACTGTGATCTGTTTGACTTTTGATGGTTGAAACTCATTACTTATCACGTTTTGCCTGAATAGATGGTTGCTTAGATCAGTGTGATGCAGATGCTTGCTAAATATAACCGTACGACATTTTTTCCTCACATTTGTCTGGCGGGTTGCCATGTGTCTCTACTTGATTTGAAACACATGGTCTGATCTGCCTAAATCAGACAATTTGTCAAGTCAGCTTGCACTATTTCAATACAGCATTCATTCTGATTTAATCTTGGCTACAAGCTTCAGTTAATTTTTCAGGGGTTTATGTAAACTAATACAATGTAGAGAATATCTGTGAAGCAGAAAGAAAGAAGCAAAAAGGTTGCTTTGAAAAGTAAAATTATGCTGTTTGTCAAAAAAAATCTGGTTTTATACACACAGGTACGGGTCATTCTGATGTGTGAACTTAAACAGTTGGTCTAAAATACCACTGAAAGTTTTTTTTTTTTTTTTTTTTTCTTATTGCATGTACTCTGTACATATTAATTCACTCAGTACTTGGAAACAATTAACTCATTAGATCATCTGTTTAATGAGTTAATATACTACATTATAGCTTTTATGCTTGCAACCAAGAAAAGCAGCACTTTTTTCCACTCTTGTTACTTTTAACACCCCCTTCATTTCTTTTCTTTTTTATTTATTTATTTATTTATTTATTTTTTTTTATAGTAATATTTTACTGCAAGTTATAAGTAGGTGGAAGTATTGTGACACAAATTATGGCACAAACTGTTCTTTGAATATTTTTATTGCTTTTCTTGTTGACATAATTTAATTTATTCTCGTTCTCCAAAGGGAAAAATAACAAGTTTTGTTAGTTTGTCACTATCTGTAATTTGTCACACAGCAGATGCTGTAGCAACTATAGATACGTTATGCACTTCCTCTAAAGGAAACCATAAAATCATGAAATGATTCAAACCATCAGCGACTCGGCTCAGTTATGCGTCTCTGAAATTCTGCAACGCGAAGAATTCAGTAAAACATTTCTCGTCGACAGCGAGAGAGATATTAAATGACCATTTCATCAAAGGTGACATTGCATTAAATCAGTCAATCAACCTGTCGTCTTCACGATAACTAGCAGTTAATGTCCTCTCTTGACCTTCCTCTGCTGTGCTTTCTCATTTTTTTCTGAGCAGGTGGAGGACACCTCTTTCTCTCTCAGTCACCCCAACCAGTACTTCACAGAGAGCCAGAAAGTTTTGGGCGGAGGGAAAGATGTGAAGCGAGAAACGGACACACTGCAGAGGCCACAGGAAAACTCTGCCGCCAGAGGATTGACTGCAGCTCGAGAGCCAGCAGTAGACGAATCCCAGCATTTGGCTGAGATAACAAAGAACCTGGAGACCGACTTTCAAGATGCCTGATTTCTGTTTTAATCCATGTGGAAAAGAGTGCTGGTTTGAGGGTCAGGTCTCTTGCTGATTGAAAACTGTATTATCTGACTTGCTGAGTAAGATCTTTTGAGTTGTTCTAGTCAGTCATGCAGTGCCTTGTTCTTTCACATATTTTGCTGTGTTACAGTCACGAACGTCAATGTATTTTTTACTGGAATTTTATGTGATTGTCCAACACATTAAAAATGATTTTAAAAAAGGATGGCTTGATGCCTTGCATTCATTCTGTTTTTACAAATGAAATCTGTAAAAGTTACATAAATTTATCTTTGGCAACTACTTCATCAGTACATTGGCTGCAACTACACCTGCAAGTTTTATGGGATGTGTTTGAACCAATTTTGCAGTTGTATATACTGAACCTTTTTCTCCATTTTTTTTTTTTTTTTTTTTACAGAATATCTTTAACGTGATTGAAATTGACGGAGAAAGCATTTGTAATTAAGTTTGTGCTGTAAGATGCCCATTTTAAATCTGCCTATTTAGGGGTAGAATTGGTTTGCTAACCCTTCACCCAACCCTCAAGGCTTTTGCAACCTTGATCTTTATTAAAGTTACATTAACAAGCCTCTAAGGCCTTCCAAAGCAGCTGGAATAAATTGGATCAGAGGTATCGGAGTTAAAGGGCTCATGTTTGTCCCACAGTTCAGATTTTGATTGTAAAAAAATACATAGAAAACAATTTTCTTCCACTTCTCACTTATGTGCTACTTTGTGTTGGTTTAAATTCTGAATAATTTACTTAAGTTCATGGCTGTTCTGTGGCAACATTTTAAAGAACTGAACACTTTATCAAGACGTTAGCTTTCAGTTTCCAGCCTTGATTATAACACAAAACTGCATTGTCCTACCTTTTGCAGCTCATTTTGTTGAGCCCGTTTGTTTTTTCTTTGCTTTTACTCCGGTTTGAACTTGGATGGCTCACACTCCGTCTCAGTGCACACTGTTTGGCAGGGATGTGGTTTTGGGGTGTGCTCGGTTGAACGTTCCCCTGCTGTCTCAGAAACAATGTCATTGTATTTTCTGGCAGCAGCGTGGATGAATGGTGACAGGAGGATGGATGAAAAGAATAAACAATTTCCACAGTTGTATTAGTCTGCCTCTGGAATATTGGCTCATAGAGCACAATGCAATTTATTCAAAGCACACTTGGTCAAAAGATACTTCCCTTTCTTCTCTCTCCCTCTCAAGCCTCTGTTTAGTAATTTGCACACACAAAAAAAAAACCTTGGTGACTGCGATAGAATGCTGCCATGGCAGTCCAACACAAGCTGCTCCTTTAATTCTCTCTCGGTAGCACAATATTCTTCCTTTACCTTTTACAAGATTTGCTGCTTTCAGATCCAATGAGAGACTGAAGTTCCTTCATTATGTGGACGTGAATCTATTTTTACAGAGGTCATTTAATCATTTTATGTTGTACTTGCTTTATGAAAGCGTTCACACAACACTACTCTAGTTGTGCAGAATCAAAGCTGGACACATCTTAAAACTAATTCATAATCCTCGACTGGGCGCATTTATTCAGTTTAATAGAGCAAGTAGATAATGTGCTTCTTGGTTTATGTCTGCAAGAGAGCTTTGATGTTTAACATTTGTTAGAGCACGATCTTCTTTCGCCCAGTTGGCCTCTTTGAGACTGTTTTCTGATCGTTTACGGTCGTTACCCATGAACCTACTGTACTTGCTCTGCATTTCGGGATTGACTCTGTTCTCATTACAAAGTTGTCAGCCTGGAGTGTTAACTGCAAAAGCAGAAAATGTAATCCAAGAGCTAACAATCACATTTGATCACACATAAGCAAGCTGCCTTACATTGGGGGAGTCTTGTGTGTGAATGTACCACAAATCCTTTGCGAGGCTTTCGTTTGCCGCGTTTTGAATTTGCAGCGCTTCAGAGTGCAAATACTTAAAAGTTTATTTGCACGGCACTCAGAGGAGTAAATGGGAAGAAAAATCTTGAACTATTAGCTACTAAATGTTCAACAATTTAAAAGCGTACCAGTATGAATCAAGAGGTTATTCATGAGTTGCAGTGATTACATTGTCTTAATTGTACATTTCTATTCAGTGCCTGATGTTTCTCTTTGTCCTGATATAATTTTACCCAGAGGGGGGAAGCCGAACACGAAATGATGCGTGTTCGGTATGCCTCACCAGAGGCAGCTCTGGTTAATTTGAGGATTTGTGTGTGTGTCTGATTACTGTTTATTTTTAAGAATCAGATAACGGCCGATGTTTCACACTTGCATTACACATTTCACTCTAGAGCTTCACAGCATTAGCACATTAGAGGATGTGATAACCTTCTTGCGTCTTGTTGTCGATTGTCTAAGAGATTTGTGTTTCCGATGGAATATTTACATTTCAGTGACGGGATTAATAGAGTATTTTTGGGTCTCTTGGTTTCAGGTCACATTAAATGTACTGAAATCAATGTGTCTCTCCCACTGAATTATACTTGCATCAAGGCAAATCGAAAAAAATGACAGAGGAAGGCTGTATTATAACATAGCAAGATGAATATGGTGGGGCAATTTGCTAAAATAATTATTTGATCTGAACATCTTGTTTTTCTGAAAGAAACACATTGAAGCATGCACATTCAAAGCAGATTAGGGGTTATACAAAAAAAATAAAAAATGGTGAGATGTGGCTTCTGTTTGGATCCATTTGTTATACCGTTTAGGATAGCTGAAAGCAGAATTTGATTTGGGAAACCACCACAACGACATCCCAGCTGCTTCTACGTTCGCCTTTAAGAGGAGTTGTTTACAGTTAATTATTGATTTCATAAATTCCGTTTTCACACTCTGGAAACCATGAACTCTGAACATTTAATTTTGTACACTTATGTATGCTGTCAATTTCTTTAAATTGTAAATAAATGTAAGTTTTCAATAAATTATTGTAATTGATTCTAGAAGTCTTCTGGTTTGCAATTGGTGGAGATGGTTTTAAGTTGGCTTAAACTTGAATATATACCAAAAATAATAAAATATGTCCCAAGAGGACATTTTTTTTATGTATGTATGTATTTATTTATTTATTTATTTTTTTTTTTTTTCTTTTCAGTTTTACAAGCCCAAACAGTGATTCAAAGAATCACTGAAGAAAAAACTTTGTCAAGGTTTGATCCGTATTTGCATTGCAGTTTTTCCACTTGTCTCAATCGTAGCTTGTTCTGATGCTAAAAAAACAGAAACATATGTTTTATGAATCTGTTTATCTATAAATAGACTTAGACTTAGTCTTATTTCATTGACATTGTACAAAGGTCCAGTTTGAACCCTTCCCATGACAACCAAAACCACAAAGCATGAAGCGAACAGCACCCATTCTGAGATTCATCCTGTGTGAGAATACAGGGGCTTCTCGGTGGCCCCTGCTGAGACCCTAAGCAGTAGTTTAGTTTGCTCACGTCTCCGGCTGGCCCTGCTCACAAATAATTATTTTGGCATTTTACAAGGAAACAGTTTCCATGCTAAAGTGAAAACTGTAGGGCTCGGACTATTCAGCTACATACTAAACTGCTAGGTGTAATTATGTAATGCACATCTTAATCAGAATCACTGACCCCAATGTTATCCTTGAATATATTTAGTTTCCTTTTTCAAATAAAAGTTTCAATATTTGAGCACAATTCACAGTTTAAACAATAATTAAGCACTATATATGCTGACTATGCCCAAAAGGTAAACATCCACAGTGCTGTCATTCACAACTAGGTGTCATCAAAGTGTCTGTGCAGACTCACCTTCCTGCCTCGTTCCGTCGGTCTAAATCTGGAGATCCTCCAGTTTCCATTACTGTCTGCTGGTGACACTGTGTGGTATTGATCGTAACACCAGATGGAAGCATCAGTTACACCCCCATCAGCGTTTTGGCCAATTCTTGTGAAACTTGGCAGTTCTTGGCAGACTGCGGTCGTTTTCTCTTTATCAAGATTTTAAAATTGGTTATAAATAAAATCTAAAAAAAAAGAAAAAAAAAAAACTGCTTGTGTTGTCAAGCTAAATATTCCTAAAGATAAAATTAGCCGGAAGACGTGTCAGCCCTGTTGACTATAAAAGTGGAGACAAACTTCCTGCAGCTGTATGTAAACTCATGATCACTCCTAGGGCGTTGTCTCGTTAACCTGACAGATGTGAGATTCTTCACTTATGTGATTAAGTTTGCTTGCAAGCTCTTCACTCTGTCTAAGCCTCACCTGCAGCCATGCTGTCACTTCGCGTTAGACCTCATCTTGAACAAGAGCTGTGAAAGTGGTGGCTGCTAAAAGCATCATCAGTGCTGCTTGCTTTTAGCCACAGCGGCACACATGCTCCATATTTGATCTGCAAAGGACTTGCATCTTTGTTTACAGTGCTCTCCTCGTTTTTTTTTTTTGTTTTTTTTGTGTGTTTTTTCTTTTGCTTGAGTATATGCCCATCAGAACCGAAATAACAAAGGCAGAGAGGGAGTTTATGAAGCAATCCGATCCTATTTTTTTTTTTTTTTTTTGTATTTTCAGCCAACATCCATGATATCACAAGAAAAATAAGCAACAACATTAAAAGAAGAGATAAAACAGATAGTGAAAGCAACAAAATTTATTGTAAGACTACTATTAGGAGCATTTTTTGAGGGGGATAGTGCCAGCATTTCTAGCTCATTATGACTGGGGTTATGATGGCTGCAATAAACAAAATAATGATTTTGATGTATGAAATGTCATCCTGAAAGGTTTTTCCTGCAGACCATAAGCTTGGAGCAAAAATATTTTCTGCTCTAGTTTATATTAAAATCACTAGTCTGTTCACAGTAAGCAGCCTCACCTAGCACAACATGGTTTGAAAAAGCAGGAAAGCTACATTTAGAGTTTTTTAGTTATATTTCAGCTGCTGTGCTTTGATAACACCACCTTTGTTGATTCATGTTAATTTTTGTATACTTAGTGAGACGAAATTGTCATTGAATTTGTTTTCTGTAATTCAAGTCATAGCATCTACGTTCAACTAAATGTTTTTAACCTCCTTTTAGTTAAGAATATGCTGAGGATAGGCAGAAACAGATAATGAAACTGAAATTCACCTTGTATGTTTGTGTACAACTTGACTGTTTTAATATGTTTTGGGGATTCTCTGATAATGAACAGTTGTCCTGGTGATAAGATTATGATCGGCTACATTTTGTTGTGGTGTCTTGTTGAAGTTCTAAC